ATATAATATTATACTCTCATAAAAAACATGCCCAAAGCCTTCCTCTGACACATTCATGCATGTTTGAGAAATCCTGCAGTTTTTTTTAGGGAGTCATGCTGAGGAGCAAAACAACAGGTGGGGACCAGAAACGCCTTTTGGTACCAGAAACGCCCCTGGGACGTGTCTTTAGGCTGAACTTCCTCATGGCAGAGCACACACACCCCCTCCCCCCATCCCACACATCCCGCCCATGACTCCTGCAGGCTCTCGGTTGAAATTGAAAGTGAAACCTAACTCTCTGCTGAGCTCTCAACATTAGTTCTCACTCAGTGAAGCTCTTTTCACATTTAAAATACCTTTGAGGAAATGTATTTTCAGATGCCAAGTAAACTGCATCATAGCACACATGCACACACGCACCCACCCCCCAACGGTATGGAACAGAAGCAGAAGGAGGTTCTTAAAGAGACAGAGGCCAATTTCAAGGCGTTTAGAAGAGGAGGTGATGAGAAGATAAGTTAATTTTCTATTTAAARATAAGAKAAGCTTTTTACAGCTGAAGGTGACACTTTATTATGGTATAGTATTTAAATGTATGCCTGAGAAACACATAATWTTAGCCCTTTAATAAAGATTCTGTGAAAAATGGAAGAACGAATAGAGGCTGCAGCAAAATGGTGAAAAGATAAAGCAAAAGAGAGTAAAATGTACCTGGTGTTTTCATTTAATAATTTATTAAAGGCAGCCTGATTGATCTGTCTAACAACTGCTCATATATCAAATAAACCCACTGCTGCTGTGCATGTCTATTCAGCAGTGCAGACCTGTGGAAGCAGTGCTGATGGTGGTAAAGGCATGTTGCTTTTCCAAGCTGCAGTTGCTGTCAGAGGACTTTACCTTTTTATTTATGTGCGTATTTCTGTTCCATGAACAAAGACATGTCTCTAAGTTCACTTGGTTAAACAAGACATATCATGCTTTCAAATCCTTTTTTACATTGAAATCATTTAGTTGGGGRCTATATAAAGTGGAACTACAATYTTTTGGRCTGAATTCCTCCTTATTGTAACTCCACAAGCCCCGCTTCCACCCGTTTCTGAGGTGTGTCTCAGATCAACTCGTTTTGATGCTGTGTCTTTAAATCCAAATGAGGGGCTTCACTCTTTTACAAAGTTGAATTTGCATAATATGTCCTCCTTAATAAATAATTTGTGTAATCTTGCATTTGTGGCTGCTGGTGAATTGGCCTCAGTGTTTGTTTCTTCACCTCAATCAGTGTGCTCTGTTCACATCTTACATTGAATTTGTCTCCACATAAACCTTGAGTGACCACTTGTAACCAAATCTCTTGTTTTTACAGTATGTAAATGACCCCATACTGTATATCATTATTATCTTTCAGGGCCKCATGCTAGAGTCCTGCTTTGGTCCTGTTTTGCAAATTAGCACATTCCTGGAACTGACTCAATTATCTCTAATRCACCTTTAATGTGACTCTGCCTCAGTGTGTGATTAAACCCATCWATGCATGCCCTGACTTTAAAGTAGACTAAATGCTGATGAGTTGTCAGCTGGATCTGCAGCGATCACTCTCAGATCTATTAACTTACAAAAAACCAAATACTCACAGACACAAACATTAATTGTACCCTCACACATCCAGTAAAGGTTTTGGTTTGTTAAATGAATGTACACAAATATTGCAATCTGCAGATGCCCAAATGCTGAATGTAGGTAAATGTAATCATGTCAAATTATAAGGAAGTGACCTAAGAGTTGATTCGGTKTACTGTAATTTAGCTYCAAAATAGAAGCTTAAACTAAAMACTGAAGCTGTAAAAAGCAGTGAGTGACAA